AGATACCAGCTGGATGGAGGACTTGAGCCATGCTGAACCCAACAAATGTACTGATGTTGTTGATGTTGCTGATGTGTAATAAAAAGATATAACACCCTAACATGTGAAGTAGGAGCATTTTGTATTTTGTATTTAATTCTCTGATTTTTGTTAACAAGTACTACAAAGAATGTTTTTTTTAAAAAGATTAGTCACTTTTTCTATGAGTTAATTTGATCAATGTTTTGTATTACCAAACACAATGTTGTAGACATACTACTGAGTGGGACGAATTCTTATTTTGACACGGCCTGGTTAGGCAATGTAACACCTGATTTTGTTGGTAGAATGTGATTTGCAAGTTTACCTCGGACACTATGCTAGATATGAAGGATCTTTAGATCACTCTATGTTCACTTACTGTGTATGTATTTTTTTTTTTTTCTCCTGTCATAGAAGCTTTAATCTTGGCGGGAGGTATAGTAAGCATTGTCAGATCAAACTATGCCAGTAGAAAAACATACATCTCTAGGGTTATAATTTGTAAAATGTAAGGATGCATTATCGCCTCAGGGACTATATTAGATACTGCACATGATGTTACTGTCTACTTTAAATGTATCATCAGTTCTCTGAGCATGAAAGCTGTGGTCTTGGCAGGAGGTGTAGTGATGGGTTGTCAGACCACAGCTTACATCGCAATGAAAGCCAGACTTGACCCGACATTAGGGGGGTCAAGTGTAAGGGTATCCCTCGCAGGTGCTCAAGGGTGTTACAAATCAACTAGCTCCCCTCCCATGTGACATGTCACCACAACAGACATGTAAGAAGGCACCAGCCGACTCTCTCCCAATATACAATAATCTACATCGCAGAGAGAGGCCGGACCTGACCTCACATTAGCCAGGTCAAATGTAACCCTCGGAGCCCAACTCAAGGGGCCACAAATCAACCAGGACCTCTCATGTCACACGGCCCCACCTGATGACTTTCCCAGAAGATAAAACTTATGGTCTCTGAGAAACGTCCAGACCTGACCTCACATTGGCCAGGTCAAATGTAAGGAGACCCTTCGCCGCCGCCCCCCCCGGCCAGCTCAACCTCACGGCTCGCCTCCCAATATCTAGGACGTCCCAGTCCTCCCTCAGACGATTCGCAGAGAGAGAGTTGTCTTGTAACAAGGTGGCCAGCTACTACACGGAGCACTGCTCGAGAGAAGTCAGGGGCCGGAGGCAAGCCGCCTCCGGTCGCCTCCAGTCACCTCCGGTCAGGACCGAGACTTCCCTCCGGCGCCCAGCTAAGCAGTCTCCCATAGAGACAACCCAGGACTACCTGCTAGGCCTCCCCTAGGTCACGTGAGTGTTTGTCAGAGCTTTCCATGGGATGAGTTACTTACGTGGGAAGTGTATTCATTTCATGTTCGTGTCTGAGAATCAGAGTGTCTAGTAACGTAATATGATGTCCTAGTAACGTAAATATAATGTCCTAGTAACTTCAATAGAAGGTGTTATTAATGTGTCCATGTCATGTTCATAATTAATAAAGAGTTGTAACGAAGTAGTGTTTGAGAAGTCGCCTTTAAGAACGTAATAGATGTGTATTGACATAGAAGATACGATAAGTGTAAATATCTATCAAGGCCACGCTACCAAAATCTTCCTCTCTTTTATACTCTTATACTATCAATATTCTACCTATATGTAATCTTCTTCTTGTGAGTTTTGTCTTATTATATTGGTGGCAGCGAACTATATGTAATTCACGCTTTCCTCGTCCCTTGTTATTGGTAACAGTGTACTTAACGTAAACCCATGCCCTCCCTCATTTTAGCCATAACACCTGACTCGTTGTTTGAGTATTGTTCGAAAGTGCGCGATAAGGAGTTCATGCAAGATATAGTTTCATTATAATTATAACAACCACAACCATGATTATAACAACCACGACCATGATTATAACAACCACGACCATGATTATAACAACCATGACCATGATTATAACAACCACGACCATGATTATAACAACCACGACTATGATTATATCACACACGACCATGATTATAACAACCACGACTATGATCATAACCACGACCATGATTATAACAACCACGACCATGATTTTAACAACCACGACCATGATCATAACCACGACCATGAATATGACAACCACAACCATGATTATAACAACCACGACCATGATTATATCAACCACGACTATGATCATAACCACGACCACGATTATAACAACCACGAACATGATTATAACAACCACGACCATGATTATAACAACCACGACCATGATTATAGCAACCACGCCCATGAGTATAACAACCACGACTATGATCATAACAACCACGACAATGATCATAACAACCACGACCATGATTATAACAACCACGACCATGATTATAACAACCACGACCATGATTATAACAACCACGACCACGATTATAACAACCACGGCCATGATTATAACAACCAGGACCATGATTATAACAACCACTACCATGATTATAACAACCTCGGTAAACTGTACCACCGAACTCGCCACCGGGCACGAAGGGCCCATGATCACTTGTCTAATATACTATAGGACTAGCTGTCTGTCTGTCTGTCTGTTTGTTCTGGGCAGCCGAAATGGCACAATCGTTTTTCATCAAACTTGGTGGAAAATCGCAAAAAAATTTGTAGAGTGGAACAAACCTGGTCCCATGTCGATGGTTTCTTTAGGAAGGCATTAATTAACCATTTTATTTACGCTGGGAAGCGATGCAAGTCTACGGACTTGCCACCCTAATTAACCGTGCAAGTCTACGGACTTGGCGCACCCTCATTCACTGTACGCTGTCAGCCGGATGGCGAGCTGGGCACCAAGGGCCCACTGTCATACAATACAATACAATGTACTACACTACAATACAAAACAAAACAGTACAGTACAGTACAGTACAATACCATACAATACCGTACAATGCCATACCATACAATACAATACACAACGAACTTTAAATATTTGTAAGAATAAAACATAATTATATAGACATGTAAGATTCACAACTTCATAAAATATCCGTAAGACATTAGCTATTGGAAATGTGATAAAAAAAATTTTTATTAATCCAGTGTGAAATGTATCTGTATTAGTGGTACAATCCTAATGGTCTCTAATCCTATTGATTAGGTGAGTTTAATCTGGGATTATTGAGATTAAAGATTAGGTGTGGGGTTTATTCTACCTGTGTTAGTCTCAGGTACGACCCTTATTGTAACAACCACGACCATAATTATAACAACCACGACCATGATTATAACAACCAAAACCATGATTATAACAATCAGGACCAAGATTATAACAACCACGACCATGATTATAACAACCACGACCATGATTATAACAACCACGACCATGATTATAACAACCACGACCATGATTATAACAAACACACCCAAGATCATAGCAACCACGACTATGATCATAACCGACGATTATAACAACCACCATGATTATAACAACCACGACCATGATTATAACAACCACAATGATCATGATTATAACAACCACGACCATGATTATAACAACCACGACTATAATTATAACAACTACACCCATGATCATAACAACTGACTATGATATAACAACACGACCATGATTATAACAACCACACCATGATTATAACAACCACGACTATGATTATAACAACCACGACCAAATTATAACAACCACGAACACGATTATAACAACCAAGGCCATGATTATAACAGCCACGAATATGATTATAACAACCACGATCATGATTATAACAACCACGACCATGATTATAAAAACCACGCCCATAATTAAAACAACGACCATGATTATAACAACCACGACCATGATTATAACAACCACGACAATGATTATAACAACTACAACCTTCATTATAATAACCACAACCATAATTATAACCACGACCATGATTATAACAAGCACGACCATGATTATAACAACCACGACTATGATTATAACCACGACCATGATTATAACAACCACGACAATGATTATAACAACCACGACCATAATTATAACAACGACAATGATTATAATAACCAGGAACATGATTATAAACTATGACCACATGATTATAACAACCACGACCATGAATATAATTAACCACGACTACGATCAGGACCCATTAATTCATAAATATAACAAACTATAAACTATGATTACAATAAATCATTGACCATGATTATAACAACCACGACTATGATCATAACCACGACCACGATTATAACAACCACGACCATGATTTTAACAACCACGACCATGATCATAACCACGACCATGAATATAACAACCACAACCATGATTATAACAACCACGATCATGATTATAACAACCACGACTATGATCATAACCACGACCACGATTATAACATCCACGAACATGATTATAACAACCACGACCATGATTATAACAACCACGACCACGATTATAACAACCACGGCCATGATTATAACATCCAGGACCATGATTATAACAACCACTACCATGATTATAACAACCTCGGTAAACTGTACCACCGAACTCGCCACCGGGCACGAAGGGCCCATGATCACGTGTCTAATATACTATAGGACTAGCTGTCTGTCTGTCTGTCTGTTTGTTCTGGGCAGCCGAAATGGCACAATCGTTTTTCATCAAACTTGGTGGAAAATCGCAAAAAAATTTGTAGAGTGGAACAAACCTGGTCCCATGTCGATGGTTTCTTTAGGAAGGCATTAATTAACCATTTTATTTACGCTGGGAAGCGATGCAAGTCTACGGACTTGCCGCACCCTAATTAACCGTGCAAGTCTACGGACTTGGCGCACCCTCATTCACTGTACACTAGCAGCAACGAACGCTCACTTTCACCAGAACGAAGGGCCCGCGATCACTTGTATAATCTAGAACATTTAACCAACTAAGCATAACACATCATTCACCCCTGCCTTTAAAACAACCCATCAGCATACAATTACAGTGTATAATCACCCAGATAGGACAGGGAGGAGGCTGAGTTGGCGATGCATCTGGCTGCCGATTTCCCTCGTGTTCCGCCATTTCCAGCTGCTCGTCCCTCTCAGCTACCGGGTGTTCATTGAAACATTCATCTAAACTTTGTTTAGGAACACGTTCAATGCTGGCCTTGTCTTGAAGTGTCTCTCTGCCTGATTCAACACCTTTGGATGCGAGATGGCGCAGAGACACTGTGGTTTCCCCTCCCTCTGGAATCTGACGCTCGCATATTGCGGATTAACATCAAGTAATTCCACCTCGTCCACCAACGGATCATATTTACTGTAACGTACTTGGAGCTTGAGATACACAGTCTTTTGAGTCGTTAACCAGGTAGGTATTGCCCTCCCACTGGCCGATCTCTGTTGGTAGCCAAACATCCATTCGTGCAGAGTGGTATTAGTGGCAGTTGACAGCAGCGATCGAATGTAGTGGAGAGCATCCACGAGGACATCTTCCCAATGAGTAGTAGGTAGTTTTCTGGATTTCAGCGCAAGTGTCACTGTTCTCCAGATGATGCCATTATAGCGCTCCACTTGACGATTAACCTGGGGGTTGTAGGCGGTCGTCCGACTAGAGGCAACTCCACGCTGATGCCAAAAAGTGCTCCAGTTCGCCCGACAGGAACAACACTCCACGATTGGAATGAATATAGGCTGCCATGCCAAAGATGGAGAATAATGAGCAAAGACATTTTATCACAGTGTTTGTCAACAAATCAGAGCATGGGAAGGTGAATGGGAACCTCGAATATTCATCAATTATAGTAAGTAAATAACCGATTTCTTGTCTTAGAAGGAAGTGGTCCCTTGAAATCCATATTCAGCCTTTCAAAAGGCTGAGTAGCTTTTATGAGAGTACCAGAGTCTGATCTGAAGAATCGCAGCTTAAGTTCCAGACATGTAGAGCAAGTGGCAGTCATCGCCTTTACGTCACTGATAAAGTACGGTAGATTTCTGCTCCGTACAAAGTGCATCATCCTTGTAACGCCTGGATGACATAAATTATTGTGAAGAGTCTGCAGATCATCTGTAGCAGATACCGAACTGCACATGCGTGAGAACGCATCCGCGGCAACATTTTCTTTGCCAGGACGATAGACAATGTTGTAACTGAAGCAAGATAGGTAAATTCGCCATCTAGTGATCTTCTCATTCTTTACCTTGCTCGAACTTTTGGGGTTGAACATGAAGGCGACTGACCTCTGATCCATGATCAAACGATAAATGTTTCCCAATGAAGTAGGGTCTCCATTTTCTCAATGCCTTTGTAATGGGCCGAGTTCCTTTGCTTCTTATTTATCATCAGATATTCTTTTCTGTTATTATTTTCAATTCTTTATATATATATATATATATGTAATATCCAGAAATTCCAGAGTAATTTCAAATGCCCCGCCATGAGTGATACTGAGCGTTCAAGGTCATCTGAGGGGAGGGAGCGCTGCGTGCTCGTAGCGAGAGATTGCGGAACTAGGCCTATATGATATTAAATGTGATTTACCGAATTAATAATGATGCGATTCATGAAGTTAAGGGACTATTATTGAATTTGAAATTATTATAGATCGTTTAGCAGTCTGAATAATGTTACGGGTGTCCCAAGGAGTTATTAGTTAGGCGGTAAATATATCACGTAGGCCCAAGCTAACGCCTTGGGGAGACGCGACTCTGGCTAGGCCCAGTCCCGGAGAGCATTTACACAGACAAGACGTTCCGCGCGTCCATCAGAAATAGTCACGTGGCCTAGTCACCTGTGCTGCGCTATTGCAGTATAACAAGTAAGTCTCATTCGATCTCAGACAGGGTTAGATAGGGCAGTGATAAAGTAAACTAGAGCTAACAGTGAGTTCATTTCAGGATTTCCGTCAGAACCCACTTGACTGGAGTTGACCGGAGTTGACTGCGAGAGATTGACTGCCGTTGATGATTGAGGGTGGCGATTGTCGCCATTGGACCGATCAGTGTAGGCCTGTCACTGTTTAGCGGGGTAGCAAAGGATCTCTTGAGTGAACGAGTGCTCCCGACAACTAACACGACACGGGACCAGCATCAGCAGTGGGTGATCAGTTCTTACCACTCCGGTGCACAACACCACATGTCCCGAGCAGCTAGTGAAACCCTCTTGCTAACGGGAAGCTAAAGTTTCTCTCAACTGCACAGGGTCTGATTGGCTCACTCTCTTCCTGCCCATGGACGCACTGGGAGTACACTGAGGCTATCTGAGTATATTAATGGTCACACACTGAGACCGTGAGTCTAGGACTCTAGGAGATACCTAGAGGAACATTTTATCTTCCTTATCACGGGTGTAGTTAACACCATTCCTCAGACTAAATAAATATACTTGGCGATGTTAATGATTTAATATTTATAGAAACTCATTTGATAGTAAATGTTTTTTTTTATTTTATTGTAGTAAGTGGAACCAGAGAGGTGATATAATTTGATTCTTTTAATGCCTCTAATTATTCTCATTCTGATCTCAGATATAGCACTTATTTCTGATGGTGATTGGGATTACAGGTTGAGAAGTGTACCTGTTGAGATTAACTATATTTGATGAGTGATATTGTTTTTAACAGAAGAAAACCCTTAGAACTAGCTAGGTATCAGAGTATTTAATTTCTTGTCTTTAATACCATTCACTCAGTGACTGATATTTATTTTGTTGAAAGACCCACCTTGAACTCTTCATTGTGGAGTATTTAAATTCTTTTTAGTACCATTTCCTAAGTGACTGATATATTATTTTGTGAAAGCCCTTAAGAGCCTGTTCAAAACATTTCTTAATACTTCAAAATTATTTGTTGCTGTGTTTCTAATAATTTCTCATGCATGTATAACTTTATTTTAGAGTAATTTTGAGGATTTTAAGTTAAAGAGGTCATATATTGGTGTTTGTGTTGGGGTGTGTTTGTAGTGTTGGAGGGAATATAAGGCTAATAAATTACAGTGTGTCTCATTCCATCCCAGTCACCAGGCTATCCTTCCACGAGGTCACGGACAGTTCATTTTATTGTAGTAGATTTAGGAATGTTCTTGCTGGGACTCAGATTTTTACTCCAAAGGGGTGCTTCCCTTGCCATTTACCATCTGTGAAATTTTAATAAACCCCCAAGTCGGGTGAGAAAATTAAAGTCAAGAAATAAATTCCGACGGTTTTAAATAGTACGGCAAACGTAGTTTTAATGTCAATGACTGATAAAATTGCTGTGGTTAGGATAATAGACATGCATCGTAATGGTTCAGCAATGGTGAGGTTGAACTGCACTGATGCTCATCCTTGTGCGGACTGAGTTGGTTAGGCTTGACCCAATAGAGATGTGTATGAGGAGGAGAGAGACGTACCGGGACGCCAGGTACCAACTAGAGAGGAGTTCAGGAGCCTAAGAGGATTATCAAGCACTTTAGTGTGGGTTCAAGGTAAGTCTCCAGGCACATTCAGCAGTTGGGGAGGGAAGCAAGAGATAATAAAGGCACATTAAAGCAGTCGAGTGTGGGGTCCAGTGGAAGCTCTTAAGGTACGTAAATGGATTCAGGATGGTCGACCTCCGTAAAGACAAAACGAAGCCGACCGATTACAGTTTAGGGTGCATGGTAATGAAAAGGCAGGTTGTAGGGGTGAGTTGGAGAAATTTGTGAGTAGGGCAGGGGTTGGGGAGAGATGGTGGGTCAGAGATGTGCGTTGAGCAGTGGTTGCTGTCATGACAGGTTGGAGTTGCTGTCTGCTGAGCAGGATTGAGAAGTGCAAGTTTGTAATGTCAGGGAGCCTCACTAAGATGGACTGGTACGTGTCAGAGGGTTGGTCTCTGCCGGCATAGGTTCGGAGACGTGGACTAGTGTGTTTTGACGCAGGACTCCTCTTGGCTGGAGCCAGGCAAAGAGAGCATGTTGGAGATGGACTGAGGTATTTTTTTTTGGCCTAGTTCCCTCTTAGTTCAAGGGCCGAGCAAGAGAAAACGCTTGTTTTTGAACTGTGTATTTTTTTTGACACTGGTTCCTCTTGGTTCAAGGGCCAGGCAGGAAGCATGCTTGTTTTTGGACTGCTCCTCAGCACGACACTGGTCCTCTTTGTTTCAAGAGGGCCAGGCAAAGAAACATGTTTGTTTTGGGCGCATTATTAATTTGACATTGGTTCTCTAGTTAGGGCCAGGCAAAAGGGGGGCGTGTTCTGGTTTGGATTGGTTGGGCTGGAAGAAGTAAGTTATAGCTGCAGGTGAATGATGTCTGAGAGTTGAAGTGGGTTTTAAGTTGTTCTCAGCACATGAGGGCAGTGCTGTCTTTTTTAGAGTGAAGTGGGAGAAAAAGGAAGAGAATGAGGAATGCTGCATTTTGCAACCACCAAAAGGGGTGAGGTGCAGTCCTTGAACAAAAATTTTAGGGGTCATGCATGTTTCCTCCTTTTGCCAAGGAACATTCTGTGTCTCTTTAAGGTCGTTGTGATATCCAAGAAATTTGGAAGTAATTTCAATGCCCGCCATAGAGTGATACCTGAGCGTTCAAAAGGTCATCTGAGGGAGGAGCGCTGCCTATAAATAGCAGTGCAGGAACTGAGCCTATGTGATATTAAATATGATTTTCGGTTAATAATGATGCGATTCATGATTGACTAATATTAATTTGAAATTATTAACTAGATCGTTTAGCAGTCTGAATAATGTTACGGGTGTCCCAGAGGTTATTAGTTAGGCGGAAAATATATCACGTAAGCAAGCTAACCTTAGGAAGCCTTGATGCTGGCTGGAAGCCAGTTCGGGAAACATTCACACAGACAAAGACGTTCCTTGGCGTCCATCCCAGAAATAGATCACGTGGCCTAGTCACCTGTACCGCTATTGCAGTATAACAAGTAGAATACCATTTCCTGATCCTGGAACGGGGTTGAGCCAGGGCATTGATAAAGAGTAAGCTACCAGAGCCTAACAGTGAGTTCATTTCAGGGTTTCCGTCAGAACACTTGACTGAGTTGTTGGAGTTGACTGCGAGAGATTGACTGCCGTTGATGATTATGAGGTGTGGTGTCGCCATTGGACCACGTCAGTGGGCCTGTCACTGTTTGGCGGGAGTGAGGATCTCTTAGTGGAGCAGAGTGCTCCCCGACCTTCTTTGTGCAGGACCAGCATCAGCAGTGGGTGATCGAGTTCTTTACCCTCGGTGCAACCCACATATTGAGCAACTAGTGAAGCCTCTTGCTAACGGGAAGCTAAAGTTTCTCTCAACTGCACAAGGTCTGATTGATACTTTCTCTTCCCTTGCCCATGTGGACGCACTGGGAGTACTGCTGAGGCTATCTGAGAGTATATTAATAGTGCACACTGAGACCGTGAGTCTAGGACTCAGGAGATACTAGAGAGGAACATTTTGTCTTCTTATCCAGATTGTAGTTACGCATTCCTCAGACTTAATCTTACTCTTGACATGTAGTTTTTAATATTTCAAGAAATATTTTTGATAGTAGTGTTTTTTGAATATTTGTGCCATTAAGTGGAACCAGTGATACTGTGATTTGATTCTTTTAATACCTCTAATTCTTCATAATTTCTACAGTCTCAGGTATAACCTTGTTCCCCCAGAACGTGGTTAGGTTAGGTTAGGGGAAGTCATACCTGTTTGAGTTTTATAATTTTGTTGGTGATAATGTTATTTTTGTAAAGCACTTAAGACTATTCATTGTGAAATTCATTTAATTTCTTGTCTTTTTATTTACCATTCCTCAGTGACTTGATATTGTTTTGTTGCTTGAAGACCCTTAAGGCCTATTCATTGGAATTATTTAAATTCTTATTTTTTAGTACCCATTTCTAAGTATTTGATATTATTTTTGTGAAAGCCCTTGAAATAGATTTCGTAATGATGCAAACAACATTTGTAATAGCAAATTTATTGTTTGCCTGTGTTTATCCTAGCATTTTCTATATCATGTATAACTTTATTCCCCAAGTAGTGTTTAAGTTTAAGTTAGAGGTCACTTATATTGGTGTACTACGATATTTGATTATGTTTGTAGTGTTGGAGAATATAAGTGTCTAAGTACACAGTGTATATATTCTGTAGTCTGCGACTAACTAATAACTTCCACTGGTCACGGACAGTTCATTTTGTGTAATGAATTTAAGTGTTCTTGTGCTGGTTAGGAGTTTTTCTCAAGGCGCTTCCATAGCCTATCTATTAATTTTAATAAACCCCAGTCAAGATGAAATTAAGTCAATTC